CTAGCTACAAATATAGTATGGAGAAGAAAAATGCAATTAGAAGAAGGAATCCGGAAATGATATAAATATTTATGTTCACATATGTTATTGTAATAGTTTTTAACACTAAGAAATGCTTTCATAGTTTTGATAAGATTGCAAGGGAAAGTAAAATTCATTGGAAGTTTTTAAAATATTACAGTAATATTTTTTCTGGCTTATCAACAAAGTCTTGCTTGGCCATTGCACAGGAAAGATATTTCTGAGCCCACAACAAACTGTCTGGTGGAGTTTCCTTCCTTCTTGGAACTCCACTGATGAATTCTTCCAGTGAAATTACTGCAAGTCACTCTGAGAATTCCAGTTAATAAAACAAAGCTTTAAACTAAGCAGTGCCCAACATGCAAAGTCACTAAAATAAAATTAATACAACCATTAAAATGTATGCATGGCAGAAGTGAAGTTTAATGTAGCACTTCATTAGAAAAAATCCTAATAAAAATTATGAACATTATATTTATGAATGTGTACTACAGGACTTAAAGAACACTTGCCAACGCTTAATATTTATATATCATCCTACTTCAGAGACAATCTAAATATCGTATGGAAACCTGTGTTGAGGCTTGATTAAAGTGTTTGGTTAGGCCTGGTGAGACCAACCTTAAGTCACAGAAGCTCTTGGGCTGATTTGGGGCCAGTCAGACTTTTCTGACTTAGTCTGCTTCATAGGGTTGTTGTTGGGAAAAATTGGAGGAGGAAATGTTATGTATATCACTTTGAACACCTGGAGGAATATAAATCTAGTAAATAATAAGCTCCTAAAATTAGTTTCAGAAAAGACTGAGTTTATCATGAATTCCAGAAGAAAAATGGCAAAAACTGAAAAGACATTCATGCCCTTGATGTGTTTTTCATCCACTAAAAGGTCACTTTCTTTTCTTCCTAAAAGCAGGGTATTGGAGTAGATTTCTCAAGCAAAACCAAGAAAGGACACAAAAAGAAGACAGATAAAGATTGGGATGTGCAGTAGAGGAATACAATAATAGGAAATCAAACTGAGTTTGCAGGCTGTGTAGACTGTTCTGTTCAAAGTGTACATGATTTGCAGCAGCAGTGCTTGTAAGAGGAAATCAAGTCAAACAAAAAGGCACATGTGCCCTGACGTCCATGCTCCTACACTGATGCATGTACAAAGAGACAGGGCCACCGTTTTTATTTGAACCCCCGATGGACAGTGAACCATGGAAACATACAATTGGCAGGGACCTTAGAGGACATCCACTCTAAACCCTGCTCAGAAGGGAGGAGCTTCATAGCATGGTTTGTGTGGTGAAATTTATTTTTTATATATTTACAGTATATTCCACCTTTGTTATTTTTATAAATGAAGGCAGTCAACATACACAGTATTCCTTCCTTCTTCTATTTTCCTTACAACAACCCTATGAGTTGAGTTGGATGGAGAGTGACTGGCCCAAAGTCACCCAGCCGGCTTTCATGTCTAAAGTGAGACTAGAACTCACAGTCTCCTGGTTTCTAACCTGAGACCAAACTGGCTTTTTAAATCTCTAGACCAAACTGGCTGTGATAATGTCTGAACAAGACTTCTACATTGATTGGCTCATTCTACCATGTTTCCCCGGGTCTTTTTTTTTCCCTCCAAAAGAGACACCAGGTCTTATTTTCAGGGTAGGCCTTACCTCACCTCCGGCACCAACAGCCACACCCAGCCGGTCCACTTCTTATGGGGCTGCGTTCTGCAGCTGCATTCGGGCCTGCATTTTGCAGTCAGGCCTTTCCAGAAGGCTTAAGCGGCCGAGTACCAAGCTATGGATTCAATCCATAGTTTGGTCCTCGGCTGCTGAGGTCTTGCAGAGCCGAGCTATGGATTGAATCCATAACTCGGTTCTTGGCTGCACAGGCCTTCCGGAGAGCCCTGTGACTGAGATATGCTGGCCTGGCTGCAGAAGAGGCCTCTGAAGAAGACGTGGGCCGGAAAGGAGATGCCTGGTTGCAAGGTAAGTGGATGTGGGGCAGGTGGGGCAGCTCCACACACCCCACCCCTGCCCTAGCTTGATTTTTAGGTTTGTGCCTCACCCCAAAACTAGGGCTTATTTTGGGGTAGTGTTATATTAGGTCCACCCCAAAAAATCAAGGTAAGAATTATTTTTGGTGTAGGCCTTACTTTCGGGAAAACATGGTAGAAGCATCTTTTGCTAGGAAGTTATATCTCCTGTTCTGTATGTCCCCCCCCCCTGCGTGCCCCCTCCCTCCTAGCCTTTGATGGCAGGATGATAGCGAGGCACCAAGTTGAAGATGGCAGACCTGACAATAAAATTCTCCAGTGAATGGCTTGAAAATCCTTACAAATTTCATTTCAAATGTGATCAGTGACAGGTTTTGCAATATTATTTGCTATAGTTATTAAACTTAATGCATTTGTGGGGAGACAAGGAGAATTGCATCTTTCATTCAAATCATAAAAAAAATATTCTTCTAGTGTTGAGCCATGGCTAGCCTTAGAACAGGAAGTCCTTGATCCTGCACATGTGGAGGCAATAGATTCAGACTGGGCTTGGAGTCACAAGGCAATCACGATGCGGGCAAAGCCAAGGTAAGGGACTAGGATCAGCGACAGACAAGTTCAGGCATAGACACAGTTACTGCTACAGTATTATACTCAAGGAATATGGGTCAGACCCTATCTCTCAAACCTAACCTATCTTACAAGCTTTTATGAAGTTAAAATTAAGTGCAGGAAGGCTATTTTTACTGCAGTGAGTTCCTAGAGAAAAGGATGGATGGATGGATGGATGGATAGATGGATTAAATAAAAAGGAATTTTTTCACCTCCATAATTAAACAAAAAAAATGTTGAAGAATAAATCCTTGAAATGAATCCAATTCCAAGAATAGCTTCATCAACAAAGGAATCTGAGCACATCGTTTTTAAAAATGAGGATTAATTAAAACAAATATTTGTGTCCAGGAATTGCAATCAGATATTCATGAGGACAAATGCTTTCAAACGGAAAAGGCAGGGAGGTGGTCTCAGTGCTTTAACATCATGAATATTCCAAGGAGATTTTTTTTTCCTACCTAGGGAAATTCTCACTTTCTTCTGGTAATATCCTGTTGGATGTGTCATGGGATTTCCAAAGCGGCTGGAGTCTTCTATATAAGGCAGTGAGCTGAGCAATAGGCCAACAATCAACAAGGGAAAGCTGTAGAGTGTAAATTTAAAGCTCAAGTTTGCAGAAGACAACAAGACAACTACCCTGCTGCTCTAACATTCCACAGTCGCTATTGGTAAGTTAAAAAAAAAATCTTTGAGTGCTTTTTTTTATTTTTCAAAGGATGCCAGAGGGAAAGTTTAATAGAAAAAGGACAAATGAGTAATGACAGCATTCATTTCATCTTAAAACTACAATTTGATAAATTTCTTTTAGAAAATACATTTATAATGCAGGATCAAAGAATAAAAGTATTATTTATATTATTAAATATATATTAATTTTCACATTAATCTGCCCTTTAAAATTAAACTATCAATTCAACAGAGAACTAATGCGAATCTGAATTTCCTTAAAAATGTACAAGTCTAACGTGCAGTTTGTAAGTCTCACTTTTGTGAAGTTCATACTTTATATTGTTAGGCATCTCCAGAAAGTAATTTTCTCCTAATGGTTGGAATTGCAATTCTCAGAATTCCCAGCCAGCATGCCTAATTGCCATTCAATATAACCAAATGCCAATAGTTGGGAAATGTCACCTCAATGTGTTTGGAAGGCAGATTAAGGGGGGGAGGGAATAAACTATTTTAACTCTATACTTAAAAAAATATGCATGCAGAATACGTTTCCTCCAGTTCAACATTTTTCTAGCTCTAGTTTGTATTTACAGCATTCAAATGTTTCAAATAGATTCAGTCTAGCTCTCTTGAAAACGATCCTGTAATCCTGTAATCTCACTGAGTAATCTGTTGCTGATAACTGGGTGAGGAAAATGAGAGGGAAAAAGAGCTTTGTATGTCAGAAGGCTGATGAGGTTTAACTGCTACTTTTGTTTGGATTTCACGTTTAATACCGTATATAACAGCATGTAAATTGTATGATTTTATTTATATAGGCACACACACTTGAGAAAACCCATACTTCTTTTATCAATTTACAACAATCTACTATTTTTTTTTATCCAGACACTGCAGCACTACCAACAAGAATTAAGAGAGGATTTTAAGATCGTTTCTGCTGTGATGAATACCTTTTACTTTTTCTCCATTATTTGCTATGGTGAGTGTTTCAAACCTTGGGAGCCTTCCTGGAAACAACATTTCTAACTGTGGGTTTCTTTTAACTGAACAGGAATCTTATTTTATACTTTTTTAAAATTACACTAATAATACAAACTAGAAAAAAATATTTTGGCTAAAAACAGACAGCAAACTAATGTCGAAAATACAGGATATTTTGTGTATGAGGGTGAATGGTATCAAAAATCTACCAAGTTCTGCTTAATGATGTTCTCTCATAGTAGTTTCTAAACTGTCTGAAGGAGACAGTTATCATCAGATTCATTGTTCTCTCTTTTTTATTATTCTGAAAACTCAAGACTATCGTTTCTGTCTGTTTCCTCTTTCCATCTTTTATAGATCATTTGTTATATTTCATCTATTTTCTTTTTATACTATTTTTTTAATCAAGTCTTTTGTTTCCACTAAAAAAACTTTAGGTTCCATTCCATATTAGAAGCCCATGCTAGTTTTGTGCTCTCTTCCTTTTCCATCCAATTCATAGGAAGGCATAGTTATCTCTCATCTGTTTTTTAAACCAAAACCATTCCTCTTCCCATAGCTATCCTCTCTACCTTTATTTCTGTTTTCTTTTAGCATGAATTACATTTCTGGTCTCTAGGGCTTATGTTTAGCTCAGATAGCTAAATTCTAATACAGAAATTTGTTGTTATCTCTTGTTTTAGGACTTTTATTATTTAAGGATAGCAATGGCTGGACATACCATGCGTCAGAGGCAAACATGAATTATGCCAAAGCAGAGAAATGGTGTAAAACCCATTTTACAAATCTGGTTGCTATTCAGAATAAAGAGGAAATTCACTACTTAAATGCAACATTTCCCAGTAATTCAAATTATTACTGGATTGGTATCCGAAAAATTGAGAATGAATGGAGATGGGTTGGAACAAACAAGCAACTGACTGAAGAAGCTAAAAACTGGGCTGAAGGTGAACCAAACAACGGAAAAAAGAACGAGGACTGTGTCGAGATCTATATAAAACGAACAAAAGATTCAGGAAAGTGGAATGATGAACCATGTTATAAAACTAAAAGAGCTTTGTGCTATAATGGTATGGATTGATATCACTTTGATTACTGTTTACACTGTTTTCAGTAGGAAAACTACATATTTATTTTTAGGCCTGCTGTAAATATTGAAAAATAAGGGGTTAGATTCAGATTGAATCATTCTTCATATAAATCAATAATAAGTCTCAATGGAACTTCTGTAAGAATATATTTAGAGTAATTTCATTGTATGGATTCTGCTTCTAATATTCCAAAGAGTTATAGTAACATTGCAATAGATGCCTTTAAGTTCTTATCCGTTGGATTTAAGGAGAAAGCTTTTTCCTTTATTTTTATCTCTTGCTCTATGTCTTTATACCTTTGTTGCTGATTTTGCTTATAAGCAGAATTCATTGAAATTAAGGCACCCCTCATAACTGCTTTGCTTGCATCCCAAACCATTGACATAGAGGTGCCTTTATTCATATTCAGCATAAAAAAATCTTTTAAATAGTCTTTAAGTTTCTGCACATTTGTTTCATAATTCAATAAATTCTCATTTAATCTCCAAGTCCTTCTACTACCTCCATCAATTGAAAATTCCATCCATACAGGACTATGATCTGACAATATCTTAGAAAAAATCTTCACCTTCTTAACCCTGGAAATCAAGTCATTAGTAATCAAAATAAAATCAATTCTAGAATAAGATTGATGCCTATCCGAAAAAAGGTGAAGTCACTTTCTCCTATATTCCTCTCTCGCCATATATCTCTTAATTCAAGGTCTTCCTGTAATGCAAAAAAACTTTAAGGCAGTTTAGTTTGCATTGAAATTTTAGAAGAAGTCTTTTTATCTTTTTTTGAGTCTATTACACCATTCCAGTCTCCCATCATAATAACAGATTTGTAATCCAATTGTATTGTCTTTTGATGTAAAAGAGTATAAAATTGCTTTTGTTGTTGATATGAATTAGGTGCATATAAACCCACAAGGAGACATTTTTTCCCATTCAATATAATTTCAATAAACACAAATCTTCCTTCCACATCAGCATCTATTAACTTTGGCATCAGTTCCTTCTTAACATAAAAGACTACACCTGCTTTCTTCTTTGGGGCAGGGGCAATAAAATGTAGACCCAATTTAGGATTAAACAAATACTTTTGATCTTTTAATGTAATATGCGTCTCTTGTAAACATATAATATCATTTTTGTGTTGCTTCAAATAATAAAATATTTTCCTCCTTTTTTGTGGTGAGTTCAATCCATTAACATTTAAAGTTATTAGTTTAACCATCCTTTGGCTTTTGAAGCTTCTGAAGCATCCCTTGCAGATCCACCATAACAGATCTTTTGGGCCTAGCCCCTCCCACTGGCTCCGAAGTAGTTGAACATGTTTGAGGCATAGCCTCCTTCTGCTGTTCTTTTTCCTTACGCTTGTAAACTGCACATGTCATTCTCTGATCTTTTGGATCATCCTTTGCCTCCAACGTTTGTAAATTCTGAAAATCTCCTGCAGATAACGACATAGCTCCAGGCAGGTCCACAATCAGTTGTTCCACTCCTTCTTCTGTTCCTTTAACTGGCGATGTAAAAGATGAGTCAGCTTTCAGAACTGTTAAATAAAAATGTTTAGCCTTCGAAACTGTGTTGAGTCTATAACGGTTCCCAGCAAATGTCAAGGCCATTCCAACTAGTATTTCCCATCTAAAAGGCACTTGCTGCTTCTTCAACTCTTGAGCTAAAAAAGCAAATTCCTTTCTTTTTCTTAAAATTTTTGAAGGTATTTCTTTCAAAAGTATAACATCTTGAGCAGCAATCTGAAATCTCTGTTGGTAAAAGGCCTGTATGATATCATTTCGACGTGTCTTTCTAGAAAAATAAACAACAATATCCCTGGGTTGTTTTCTCTGACGTGCGACCCATGAATTAACTCTAAATATTTTTTCTATTTCTCCATATATAATTTCAGGATCGCAGTCAAAAACCAACGCTAAGGCAGCTGATACCTCCCCCCTCAGTTTCTCTTGTGCATCCTCCTTCAAGCCTCTGATTCTTATTGCATATTCCATTTCTCTAAATTGTGTCATTACAATATCATTTTGAGCAATTTCTATACCCTCTTCTACTTTTTCCATTCTCTCCTCCATTCCTTCCATTTTTTCTCCCACTTCTTCCACACGCGTCTCTATACAATCCATATGAAAAGCAAAACCTTGAAAAATTTGAGACATGTTCTCACACAATTCATCATTCTTTTTAGCCAAAAGCTCTTCTGTCTCCACTCTCATTTGTTGCACTATTTGTTTAGACATCTGCATCAAAGAATCCTGCAAGTCCTTCAGAGTAATATAAGGTGGAGGAGAGGGTGGTGGAGTTTTAGCTTTCTGTTGCGTAGTTTGTACAACTGGGGAAGAGACAGCTGGCTTAGGTGCTGCAGAAGCTACAAGTCGTTTAGAAGCCATTCTTAAAATTAAAAAAAGATCTTAATACACAGTCCAAGACATCAGATGGTTAAGCAGACTTTTCTTCAATTTTTCTTCGATTTTTTAAAAAAATCTTTACAGTCTTTACAATGTAACAATCCACAACCGGAAGGAAAATGAAAGTGTCTCTTTAAAACAAAGAAGCGGCTGAGCCGCAGCCATTTTTTTTTTCTCCCTTATCTGCAAGTTAACTTTCGATTTCAGTCAATTGAGAAGAGTACTTTAATCTTCTGAGTCAAAGTTATAATTTCTTTATAAAAAGTCCAAATTTCCTAGACAGCTCTGTCTGTTGAAAATTACTCACAATTAAAGTCTCAAAAAAGAACATCAGAGGTGGAGACGGCGTCTGGCTTCGCAAAGTAATGAAGACATCCCGATCTGCGGAGGAACTCTGAGCTCCGGAGGAGTTCTCACCTTCGCCTCCCTGGGAGCCCCCCAGGGAGACTAGGGAACTCGACTCCTACTTCAGAGTAAGCTCTCCTTCTCTCCTATGCCCGGAGAGAAGGTTCAAACCGCCAAACAGCTGATATCTGCTGTTTCGGCGATTTTTACGCAGCCCCGGATGGGAGGCTGTCAGAAAGCCTCCTTCGGCAGCCGCCCAGCCACCGGAAGTCCAGATGTAATAATTGTTGATGGCTATAATTGAAAGTCCAATCAAATTAACATTGGATGTATGAAGTGCAAAGATATGGGGTTAATATGGGGAAAACATGAAAGTAATTGTAGAAACAGTTTTGCATGAAAGCAAGAAATCGGAAAAATCTCTGTAATTTATGTAAATGATTGTTTCTGTCCTATTTTTTTGTTTTTTCATTGTGGAAAATGTTTCCACTGAAATTTGTACAACACAGCAGACAGCTTTAAAAAAAAAAAAAGAGCACCAAAAGGACAAAAGGCCAAAAGAAAAAATGAATCTTCAAGATGGAAACATAGTTTTTTTCTCTTTCCTTCTTAAAGGGAAATACCTTATTCTACTATTGTGTTATAATAGCCACAATATCACTACTGTAGTATTTTCACAATATAATCTGCTTAATTTTCTTGCAGCCTCTTGTACTCCAAATTCCTGCAGTGGTCGTGGGGACTGTATAGAGACAATTAACAATTACATCTGCCACTGTAACAAAGGTTTCTATGGACATGACTGTGAACATGGTATGATTAATTAATCATTTAGTTAATTCAAACTTATTGTGATTTCCAATTCTGTTCATTTGTTCCACTTTGGTAGAAATGCCTTATCCAAACTCTTCTGTTCTCTTGTAGTAATTACTTGCGATCAACTGGAAGACCCAGATCAAGGTATCTTTACATGCAAACATCCAATACAGGATTTTGGCTTTAACTCTTCTTGTGATGTTCAATGCAAGGAAGGTTACAAACCGACTGAGATGGAATCAATAACATGTACCGATTCTGGAAAATGGTCTGCACCATCTCCATCCTGTAAAGGTATGCATATTTGACTAGCTGAAACCAAATTAAAACCAAAGAGAATTGTTTAAGTCTGTGTTGTTGACTTAGAAACATTTTATTCAGTTGTCAAAAAAAAATTGTGCTACCTTCAGTTGAAATCATGAGTGTGTCTCAAGACACTCTGAACCATCCTCTAAGTCACCAAATGTGGATTTTATTTTGCCAATACCCTGAAGTTTTAAAATAGCTTCAATTTAGCAAAAATAAAACTTTGGGGAAAGTAAGTTAGAGAACAGACTAAGACTAAACATTTTCATTGTTGAGACAGTGTGCTGGAAAACAAAGAATAGGAAAGGAAAGAGAATTGAGTATTTTTGAAAAAGGCATCATTGATTAACTGAAGAAAAGCAAGCATACAAAAGCATTCTATGCTGAAAATTTGTTATGTAGTTAGTTATTTCAGTTAGTTATTTCTGTTAGTCAGGTTGGAAAGATTATCACATTAAATTACCAGAGGAATCTACTAATATAAATTACATTCTATTCTACATTTCATTATCTGTCACTTATTACAACCACAATTGACTCTAAAATTTCTGTTGCTGAGAAAGACTGATGTTAAGTGACTTTTGCCCCATTTCACAACCTTCACGATTGTTAAGTGAATCACTGCAGTTATTAAGTTAGTAAAACAGCTGTTAAATGAATATTG